GAAAAAACCAGGTCAGGGTCAATTATGTTACAAAGGATCTCCTTCCACATACTGAAAAGACATAAAACGCTGGAGAGATGGGATCCCTGAGTGGCTCAGCAGTTTAGTGCCTGCCTTTGGCCCAGGGCATGATCCTGGAGTCCTGGGATCGTGTCCCTCATTGGGCTCCCTGCATGGAGCCTGCTTTTCCCTCTGCCTGTGTTGTCTCTGCATCTCTGTGTGTGTGTGCATCTCTCATGAATCAATAAGTAAAATCTTTAAATAAAAAAATAAAAAGCTGGAGAGTAGCAAGGGTATCAGGTAATACCTCATAACTAACAAGTAGTGGGCATTAATTTTCCATGTGCCAGGCATTCTTCTAAGCCCTTTACCTGTATTAACTCAATTATATCTCATAATAACTTTGTGATGAAGACACTCTTATTGCCCCCATTTCCTAAATGAGTAAATTGAAGTACAGAGGGAACAAATAACTTGCCCAGAGTCTCACAGCTAGTAACCAGGTTGATCAGAGTTTGAACCTAGGCAATGTCTAACTCCAGAACCCTCAGTTTTAACCACTTTATGCTTTTTGGGGAAAGGATTTCTAAAATGTCCCTTTGCTCCAAAGTTGAAATTCTACCATTAAGAGAAATGTAATGGGGCTACTGAGTGGCTCAGTAATTTGAGCAGCTGACTCTTGGTTTCGGCTCAGGTCAGGATCTCAGGATCTGTACTCAATGGGGAGTCTGTTGGGGATTCTCTCAGTCCCTCTCACTTTGCCCTTCTCCCTGATCTCTCTGTCTCCCTCTCCCAAATCAATAAATATTTTTTAAAAATTAAAAATAAAAGCATCATAGAATTTTATAGCTGGAAGAGATCTCGGTGTTCACTGAAATTCAATTCTTATCCAAAGGGACAACATCCTAGTCTACTTGGCTTGAACACCTCTAGTGATGAGGAACTCATCACAGCCAGAGGCAGTCACCAGCTGACATCTTTAATTGTTAACAAAAACATTAAAATGTTGATTGCCTTCCATGTGTCAGGCACTTTGTTAAAGCATAGGGTAGAAATTCTTCAATATGATGAGCCCAAATCTGCCTCCCTGCACTTCTTCCCACCGGGTCTGTGTTGTGTCTGTGGTTCCCTGCATGTCATGACACCCCCATATATATTTAAAAACAGCTACAAAGTTCTCCTTAGACTTTCTTCTCTGTTTATTCAATCTGTTCTCAGATCGCATTCCCTAGGTGAGATTCATTTTTCTTGTTAACAAGCGTCTGTTTTAAAATGCAAACGTGGAAAAAAAATAAAATGCAAATGTGGGAGGGCAGCACATTAAACCTAATCTGATGCTTCCCTGCCATCAAACTGTCTTGAGAAAAAGGTAGTTTCAGGGTGCCTGGTGGCCCAGTTGGTTAAGCATCTGCCTTTGGCTCAGGGTCCTGGGATTGAGCCCCACATCGGACTCCCTGCTCAGTGGGGAGTCTGCTTTTATCTCTGCCTCTCCCCTCTGCTTATGCTCTCTCTCTCTAATGGGGAAAAAAATCAAGAAAAAGGTAGTTTGAATCTGGAGAAAGGGCCAGGGAAGGTGTTGAGAACAGAGGCAACTGGGAGCATGGTTCAATTGCTAGCACAGGTTTGGAAGGAGTGTTGATGCAGATTCTCCAGGTGGGCAAAAAGCAGCACAGTGATCACGAGCTTCTGAGACTAAGGAAGGGGACATGCCAAGAGTTAAAAAATAGCAAAAATGGTGAACACCTGTTAAGCACTGTATACATGCTGGGCAGTTAGCATTCATTACTTTGCTTAATCCTCACAACAGGGTCACTAGGTAGGTCCCATCATTATCTACATGTTACAGATTGAGTAATCTGAAGGCAAGAAGGTGAAATAACTTGTCTAGAAAAAGGCAGTATAGTTTTGAAGCCAGCAGTCCGGGCTTTTCCTATATAACTTTGAGAAAAGGAAGATGAAGACTTAACTTTGCCTGCTTACCCCAATGCTAATCAGTAATCATCCAAATGGAACTCAGAGGTCTGAGACTTCTGCAGCTCTAAGGAGTTCTGCAATACCCAAATAGTGATCCCCCAAAGTCCACTCTTTCACTGGGTTTCTGTCCCTAAGTATTTCAGACCCCAAGGAATGTTCCATGTTCCATCAGTTTGAGATGTTTCTGACTACCTCAGTCAGCCTGCTCCCCGACCCCTGACATGAGGAAACCCCCATACGGCTGAACTGCCTGGCATAATTAAGACCAGACTGAAATGTTTAATGAGACTTTTCCCCAGGAACTCATACCGAGCAAGTCTCACATGCAATTTCCAGCTAGGTTATAGGGTCTGTTTACCTACCACCTCCCACAGGGCCAGCTAATAGTTCTTGAGAGCCCACCACCTCTTACAAAAATCAGTTTCAACAGCTGTGACACTCCCAGAAGATAACACCTTATTTGCAGAGGCACCCAAGGGGAATTTACACGAGCAGATGAGTATCTCAAGCCTCTCCATTTCTGGATAGGATCTTGGCTTTTCCATTGCATGACCCAAGAGTCTAATAATTAAGACCATCAAGGATGCTCTCATCCTCTACAGAAACTGCAAACTGCATAGCAAGTCTCAGCCAGGGCCTCATTATACAACAGACAATAATAGTTAAAATACTGCCTTTAAAAAAAATGCAAACTAATAATTTCTAAAGAGGATACATTTCCGGGGTGCCTGGGTGGTGCAGTCAGTGAAGCATCTGGCTCTTGGTTTCAGCTTAGGTTGTGATCTTCAGGTTGTGAGATCTGGCCCTATGTCTGGCTCGACACTCAACATGGAGTCTGCTTGGGTTTCTCCCTCCCTTTCCCTCTGCCCCTCCCACTCATGCTGTCTCTCTCAAATAAATAAATAAATATTAAAAAAAGAAAAAGAGAGGATATGTTTGGGATAACCAAAGGCATTTTCCCACTTGTGTAGAATCTAGATTCCTACAGTATAGAGGACCTTGCCTTAACTTTTACAAGCAGTATGTTAAGCCTTGTTTTATCATCTAGATTGTCCTTCTGAATGTGATGATTATAACAGAGAATTATTTGTACTCTAAGAATCTGTGGAAATCTCTAAACATCCAATACTATTGGATTTGCAACCACAAATTGACAATTCTAAGATACACAGAAACTGGCTCTAATAGTTATTTTTAAAACACATACACAACTTTGAACTTGTATAAATGCAGCGTTGACACTGATGAACATTTCCAGCCTCTTCCTGGCAGAAGTGAGCTGGAGAATGAAAGAACCAGACACCAGAGGGACCTGCAAGAGGGGAAATGAAGGTGCGGTTTTAGTGCCTGGCTTCAAAGGCTAGCAGCAATCGTGAGCTTAACCCCATCTCTTTCCAGCTAAACCAATTTTCTGTAAAGACAGAAAAACCCCAAACAGCAGAAATCAAATTTCCCCTGCATCACTTTTAATTTAACAATGTCCCAGTTTCCAAGCTGTCGTCATCTAGTCTTTGTAAGCATGCTGATGAACCAAGCACAGTCAGGGTAAGGGGATGGCTAGTGTGATACAGTCCCGACTCCCCAGCTCGGGGTCTAGGTTTTCATTCTTTTCACTGAAGTTCCAGCTCCTTGATGAACTTGTTTACTCATTCCATTGCTATCTAAAGCCAGAAATGAATAGACTAAAGATTTTTCCTCCCAATAAATCATTCAATAAATAGAATTGAATATCCTCCAATCTTGATAGGTGGTTGCATATATGAGTTCTGCTGTGTAAAACTGGCTACTTCATATTTACATGGTTCTCAGATCCTCTTTTTTTTTAAGATTTTATTTTTAAGTAATCTCTATACTCAACATGGGGCTTGAACTCACGACCCCAAGATCAAGAGTTACATGTTCTTCCAACTGAGCCAGCCAGGTGCCCTCAAGTCCTCTTATAATAAATCTCCTTCTGTGTGCCCGTGCCCAGCCAAGGGCACAGGCCTGGCAACACACACACACAAACACACAGGACATACACATTCCACCTACTGGCATTGATAAAAGACTGCTCCTCTGGGGGAGGAAGGGTGTTAACAGAGACAATAAAATCACTATAGACATTTTATAGACAAATTCAGATTCTAGACTTTGACCTAAAAGATCTTAGGCTAAGTTATGAAAATTATAAATATAAATTGAGAGCCAAATTCCCCTTTTAAACAAAATCGTTTCTCCTGAAATCCAGATTGACTAATTGCTAATTTGTTTTGAGTCAAGGTCTCCTAGAGTCTTTGTGAAGCTCCTTTGCATTTAAACACTTATAGTGGAGGTATGCTCACTACCTGAGAAGCAGCCCATTTCAAAATTCTGGCAATTTGTGGAGTTAAAAAGCTCCTCCTTATACCAAGCCAGATTGACCTCCTGTAGCTTTCACCAATTTGGTCTTAGATCTACTCTCTGGAGAGACACAAAATAAACTTAATCCCTCTACTAGACAGCTAATCTCTTTATATGATTCTCTTAAAAGAAATTGCAGTGACTCAGGCTACAATTCTATCAAGGATATAACAAACCCAATACCTTTCCCTCCTCCTTGCAATGGCAGAATAAGCCTATATGAGTATATTTATCATGCTGGGAGAGGGGAAAATGCTCCTCCCTGGCAGGCCCTGGATGAGAGTCTGGAAAAGGGTAGTGTGGACAGGCAGGCTTTCTCAGATTTTCCTGTCTGTTATGATAACCCGCAGCCTTCTCCTGGCTAAAGTACATGTCTGGCCCCAGAGGTTCTCCTCTTAGTCTGTGTCAGAGGTCCAGGGTTCTTTTGCGTGCATTAGAATCCTGGGAATTCTCCACAGGATCCCACCCCCTGAAATTTTGATTTAGAAGAAATGAAACAGGCCCAGTAATCTGTATTGTAATAAGCATTCCAGGTGCAATTATCCTTACTACATTTGTAGAAACACCAAACTAAGTGAAAAAAAAAATATGAGTAAAAAAATACTTTGTGTCTTGGTTTTATTCAACTGGAAAGCACATGCATTCAACATTTAACCTATTGGTCCTATCCATTTACATTAAATTATTAAATTCCATGTTATTAAATAATAAAAACACTTTTAAGTCATTTATTGTTCATCTAATAATAATCATCAAGTCTATCAAAATTCTCCCAGAATATGAAGGGAACTAATAACATCATCTGCAGGTAACAGAATGATAAACTGAAGTGTTTGTTGGGAAGCATTCAATGTAGGCCTTAAGAAGGGAGCCAGGCTCCTGCACTGCAGCCTATTGCTTGTCTCAGGTGGCCAACAGAGCAGGACGTAGGGCCAGATTTGAGAAACTTTACAGGGAGAGTACATTTTGGTTCAACACTTAGCTGATCAATCTCGTGATTGAAGCTAACATAAAAAAATCACACCTGCATAAGCACCACCACATACATCCTATGTAATTCTGTGGGAATTCTAATAAAGCTATAGAGGGATTCCAGTATACGGGTTACAACAAGTTACAACATTTCACAGTAGACTAAATACCTGGGGAGTTTAGTTATGCAAAGAAAATCCTCCTCCTTTGAGAACAACAGCTTATTTCTTTTCAAAATAGCTGCTGTGGTTCTTTTACAAATATAAAGGGTGTCTCGTCTCTAACTCAGCCTTGAAGTAATGCTATCCCAAGGCAGCCCTGGTGACCTTGTTTCCTTGTGGCAAAGTGAACCCATGTCCTACCCAGTAATTTAGCACTTAGTAAACTGACTAAAAAAGTTGAGCAACAAATTTAGTTAAAGGTTTTGGTGATAGGAACTTACTTTCCTTCCTTTTTTTTTTTTTTTTTTGAACTTACTTTCCTAATTAAGATACTTCATGCATGTTTGTTGCAAAATAAAATTATTTTAGAATAAATGCAGCGAAGGCATCTAACTTTCATTTTCTGTCAGGGATGAAGGCTTTCACTGGTTCGCTGACCTTCCTCTTCTTCCTGGAGCTCTCAGAACTTTGCTGACTGTACGCGAAATTCATTCTTTGAATCTGTGAGAATCACCAGAGAGGCACAATTCAGGAGAGGTTTTGACGTCTGCACAAGGCATATACAAGACAGGTAGACCAAGCATTAATCCCTCTAGCTGCATAACGGATCCAAACCTGCTTTCCTGTGGGCTGGTTTGGCCCTACATAGAGGCCCTGCTGCCAGTATCAGAGTCTCATATTCCAAGTTTCAGGAGCTGAGGTCCCCTGGAGGCAGCCAGTTTCAGGGACAGTTTCTTGGCTCTCTTGATTCAGGACATTCAACTCTTAAAGGAAGAGTTGTCAAGGTATGGGGCCAATAAGGAGCAATTAAGGGTCAGGAGAGATCTAGGGCTCTGATTGCTTTAGAAACAAATATAATTGAGGTCCCAATTTCAGTTATCAGAAATATGCGGCCTTATCCTTTCTATCATATGTTCAGATTAATGAATTAGGAAGGACCATGGCTCTTCTTTCTGCTTGAAGAGAAGTTTATGTTATTGATTAAAGGAGAGTTAGTGAATCATCATAGATATATATATTTTCCCATTGGGCTCAGCTTTGGTAAAGATTTTTAAATTTATTTTTGCTTAACTAAGTAAACAAATGATTGTATTATAATCTGTCAGACAATCCCTAATGCCTAAAATTCCTAGAAACACATAGAGTTTTTATATTTTCCAGCCACTAGATGGGAGGAAAGGGTTTTCAATATCCTCTGTTCTTTCTTTGGTAGGAAAATGGAATAAAATAGATATTTTTAAGCAAGGCTGGTCAGGATATCTAGTAAAGTTTCCAACATTACCCTTTTTTTCTGTTATAGATACAGGTTATTGTTACTATTGATATGTTACTACTACAAAATAGTGGAAATGTCAATAAAGCACTTAAGTACCAAAGACTGGATCTACAGACAGCTAATTTAATCACTGATTTTCTTTTATTTTAAAATGCATTTGAATTTCAGATCTCAGAAACCACAAATTCTCTTTGGCTTAAACTAAGACATCGATTATATAGAGAGAAGACTGAAACTCTGAGAAAATAAATAGAACTGTTCATCAAATAACTGTTTGGCTTAGATATGTAAAAGTTTGAAATGGTCTGTTTTAAAGGAAAAGAAATAGCAACATAAAACCAAGCACAAAAACCAATTTCTTTATCTAGGAGATGAATTTGTTACAGTGTGACTGTAAGAAAAGCACTTGGTAAAATTCAGTTTTTCTAGAAATGTTGCTTGGGCATGCTTTCTGTTCAAATGAAATTTCCCTCACTTCGATCAAGTCTGGGTATACTGAGAAGAAAGGGAGATGAAAGGGATCCCTGGGTGGCCGGGGATCCCTGGGTGGCCGGGGATCCCTGGGTGGCTCAGTGGTTTAGCGCCTGCTTTTGGCCCAGGGCGCGATCCTGGAGTCCTGGGATCAAGTCCCGCATCGGGCTCCCGGTATGGAGCCTGCTTCTCCCTCTGTCTGTGTCTCTGCCTCTCTCTCTCTCTAATAAATAAATAAATCTTTAAAAAAAAAAAGGGAGATGAAAAAAAAAGAAGAAAGGAAGATGGATGTACAAATCCTCAAACGACAAGTTGGTCTGATGGTTTAGTAGTTTTGTTTTCTCTGTCTTCTTGACTCAAAAGTAAACCAGAGTTTTATTATAAGTTTAAGAACTGTAAGTTTATTGCAATGAGTTAATCAAAACATCTTTAATAATGTATACAATCTCAAGGTAACAGGTGAGGCCTGGGAACTCTCAAAGGTTTATGGGAAACTAGTGGGTTCAAAAGCAAGTATGTGATCAGTCAAGGGACACTTTCTAACATAGATGAATAATCTATATGAACTATATAAACAAACAAATTTATCCATACAAACATTTTGGGGTGTATTCCAAATGGCTGAGTTTGCATATTTGATGCCAAAGCCAACCAGGCAAGCAAAGGGCCCGTGATCAGGCAGTCTAGACAGATTACCTGCGTGATGTGAGCAACAATGGATGATCATCAAGTGATTTCTAATGCATGTCATATTATATTTTAAACAGCTAGCCTTTAGAGTGTTCCTTTATATAGATTAACAAGAGGCTACTGTGATCCACTTACCAATAGAGCCTCAGGAATACATCTGGAAAAAGCCCTGAAGTTTGCAGATCTCCAAAAGGGCCCTGCACACTTCCCTCTGGACTTTGCCCTTAATACCCACTCATATGCTCTGCTTCTCCCTTCCTCACCAGGCCCAGGGTCAGCCCTGGAGTTTCCTCTGCCTACTGGCCTTCATGACATCTCTAGGGCTGTGTTCTGTTCTTACTCCTTTTGTGGCATTTACTACATGGTATTATAAGGCCTACTTACTAGTCTCCTCATCCAGAGATAAACCCCTTTCGGTTAGCCACAATATCTTAGTTATCTTTGTAGTCCCAGTTCCTGGCACCTGGTAGGTGCTCTTAAATTACTGGCTGAATGAATGAGTGCATTTTGAAGCTGAATTTAAGCCAGGCACTGTGCTAGGCACTCGGACCATATCTCTAGTGATATAAAGATGAATAAAACACAGTCATTTTCAGAGATCAAGTATTATAGGAAGAGGCATTAAACACATTAGTATAACATAATGCAATACAACATAATAGAAAAGAGCCACAACAGACATTCATTCATCCAGCAATTATTTCTTGACTGTCAGCTCTGTGCATGGTACTGTTGTAGGTGTTTGGGAAACATCAGTAAACAAAGGAAATAAAAATCCCTGCTGTGTGGATTTGACAATTCAGCCATGTTACTTTTTTGGCCTAATAATTTCCAAAGACATTTCACTGTTTTTAGGACAAAGTCCAAAGTCGATACTTTGGCTTTTCCATATACCATTAGTGATTCCTTACATTTCTAGGGAGGGAGAGGTGTCACACGTTGGCTATAAGACCCTGATGAAGGCTATGTCCTCTTTCCTCAGAATGCTCACACCTGCAACTCACACACTCATCCACTGTGGCAGCCTGTTTGAGGGGGCTACCAAGCCCATGAATACCTCTGTTAGAACCACCACCCCCCAAAGCCTGGCTCTGCCCAGCAATACCACCCTCACCTCCTCACTTGACCTGTCACTCTCTCTGTTTTCTCATAGCTGATTTCTTCCTGATTCTAGACCTTTGCGCATGATGTTCCTTCTACCTAAAATGCTCTTTCTCCTCAATCTCTTTGCTTAGTAAATTCATACTCATTCTTTAGATTCAGGTGAAAAATTATTTCCTCAAAGAAATGTTCCCTACATTTAGGTAAGGGTCCCCCAATCATAAGTTCTTAATAGAGCTCCAGGAGATCAGGGACATGCCTGTCTTGGTCATGACTTACACACAGTGGGAGGTCAACAAATATTTCTCAATGAATAAATGGATGAAGTACTCTTCAAAGAGTACTCTGCCTGCAGTGTAGAAAGGTACTGGAAGCAACAAGTGGACACAGGGTGATGAGTCACACTGTTGTAGTAGTCCGGTGATAACTTGGGTGACAGGGCAGATAAAGAGAAGTCAATACTGAGAAAAAAATTTAGAAGGTAAAGTCAGAAGGATGGCCAACTGGATATGACAGTAAAGAACAGGTAGGCAGGTCAATAGTGACTCCCAGCTTCTAGTTATCTAACTTCAAGGATGAAGGTATTGTTCTCTTAGGTAAAGAACAATGGAAGTTTTGAACTTGCTAAATTTGAAGCACATGTGAAACCCCAAGTGGACATATTGAATAGGCAGCTATATATGGAAGTCTAGAGCCCAGGAAAGAGGTCTGGGATGAGGATGTAAAATTGAGAGTCATCAGCATATGGAAGCTAATTAATGCCAGGGGTGGGGAAGAGTTTGCTTATTGGGAGATCAGAACATGAGAAGGAAAAGGGCCAGGACATAGCCTTAAGGAACTCTAACATTTAGATTAGGTGGAACATAAACCAACAAAGGAGATTAAGGAAGAGAGATAAAAGAAGAGTAAAAGCCAAGGGAAGAGAGTCCTAAGAAGGAGTGGAGAAACTAAAAGAGATAATGGTGGTGGTCAGTAGTGTCAGTTGCTGAGAGGTCAAGAAAGATGGAGACAGAAATATATCCACTTGATTTAACCGCATGGAGGTTATTAAGTGCATTGAATTCGTGGGGGCAGAAGTCACCTTGAAGTCACTTGAAGAGTACATAAAAAATAAAAGAAATCGAGACAGCAAGTATACAACATTTTATAAAGGTCAAGAAGGAGGGGCAGCCCTGGTGGCGCAGTGGTTTAGTACCACCCGCATCCTAGGGTGTGATCCTGGAGACCCAGGATCGAGTCCCATGTCGGGCTCCCTGCATGGAGCCTGCTTCTCCCTCTGCCTGTGTCTCTGCCTCTCTCTCTCTCTCTCTCTCTCTCTCAAATAAATAAATAAAACATTAAAAAAAAAGTCAAGAAGGAGGAGGGCACCCAGATGGCTCAGTTGGTTAAGCATCTGACTCTTGATTTCAGCTCAGGTGAAGATCTCAGGGTTTTAAGTTCAAGCCCTATGTTGGGCTCTGTGCCAGGTATGGAGCCTGCTTATGATTCTCTTCTTCTTCCTCTACCCATCCCTATCTCTTAAAAAAATAATAATAAGAGGGAGTAACCAATTCAGCCTGGGAAATGTAGAAAAGCCTTCTTAGCAAAAGAGGGACACTGAGCTGGGTCTTAAATAATGAGTAGGAGTTCACCAATCTGGAGATGGTGAGGGAGCCAATTGGGTAAGAAAGGTCATTCTAGTAAGAAGGTTCAGCATGTTTAAAGATACTGAATCATGAAAAGACATGGAAGATATATGAGACAGTGAGAAATATCCCTTTATTAGATTGGCTTTTAGGGTTGTTATTTATCCAATATACTCCTGTTAAAATACAAATTCCCCTGGAATTATTACTCAATATGATGTTAGTGTAAATTAACTCATCAAACAGTCTCTGAGTGGCAGCCTGCTGAAAGCAGGCCTTGACAGGCTTTGGAAAGCAGACAGATAAGTTTCAATATAGACAGAGCAGTTCAGGGTGCA